GTTCACTGCATTCTCGGCCACACTTTTCCCACGGGCTGTGCAGCCAATGAGAGGCCAGGAATATGATTGTGGCACTTGTGGCACGCGTACCCCTCCAGCGCTCGCACTACCCGTCAAACAGTGATTATAGTAAAGTCAAGACCTTTTCAAAGTTATGCAATACTGACTGTAAGCGATAAACAGCACTACTGAGCAGTGGTGTGAGTAGCCAGACATGTGAGCGATAAGCACATTCAATGCACTGTCAATGCTAGTTATATAACTTTGAAAAGGTTTTAACGCGACTTTAGTGTAGCGAATGGATAGCCTGTGTTTGTGTGGAGTTATGCTGTGATGGGACTGTAGTGCGAGCGCTGGCGTGAGAATGCAGTGCCAGAGAGCAAAAGCAGATGCAATTACGTCTTGATGGCTGGTTGGGTGCATGTGGTGTGTGTGTGAGTGTGTGAGCACAGGCACAGGCATAGGCNGCTAGTTATATAACTTTGAAAAGGTTTTAACGCGACTTTAGTGTAGCGAATGGATAGCCTGTGTTTGTGTGGAGTTATGCTGTGATGGGACTGTAGTGCGAGCGCTGGCGTGAGAATGCAGTGCCAGAGAGCAAAAGCAGATGCAATTACGTCTTGATGGCTGGTTGGGTGCATGTGGTGTGTGTGTGAGTGTGTGAGCACAGGCACAGGCATAGGCAGCATAGCTCAGCACAGGCACAGGCACTGTATGCTGTACTGCAATCCACTACAGGTGTAGATCTCATAGCAATGGATGTGGAAGTCGTGGGAAAGTGAGTGGAGAATCGTTCCCAAGACTTAGTGCTGAGTCGCGCGCTTCACTTCACTGCTGACCTCATGCCTACTATTGCTATGAAAGCATTAAAGCACTAAAGCTCTACACATTCCCACACTCAACAACACTATCTTCCCCTCTCAGCCCTCTCTCCCCCTCAGCCCTATTCATGATAAAATAGTCACTTGTATAGCATGTATAGCACTGGTGTGTGCCGTGCCTTCGTGTCTGGCCTCCGTGTGCACGCATGTCGACTAAATGAGCAAAACTAGTCTCAAATACTTTAACATCACATTTGAAAACTCGAGTTCGTAGAGAACAGTCGCATCACTTCTTACTAAAGCTTTTACGCTAAGATTGAAACTTTTGCAAAGTTTTTGCAACTTTTTTACAGTTTATTTAAAATACGAATAATCAAAACCACCGCTACAATGACCGCAACCGTTGCATCGGGTGTTGAATCCCAATCAGATATTCCTCGTAAACCCCTCTCCAAGACTTCTGAACACAGAAGAGTAAGTTTCCTCAAAGTTTGTCAAACTTTGCAAACTTTTTGCATTGAATCCTAAGTTCAAAAACTAATCATTTTTTGTTACTATTTGTATAATAGGCTACAAAACCAATTATGGAGAAGAAAAGAAGAGCTCGTATTAATAACTCGTTGAATGAGCTGAAAGTTCTCATTCTGGACGCTCTCAATAAAGACCCGTCCCGTCACTCAAAGCTGGAAAAGGCAGACATTCTGGAGATGACTGTCCGACACTTGCAAAGCGTTCAAAGACAACAAATGGCTTCAGCGATCTCAACAGATCCGAGTGTCCTCAACAAATATAGGGCCGGATTTAATGAATGCGCGACAGAAGTCGGCCGTTATATCGGACGCGTCGATGGAGTCGACAATCCTCTGAGACAACGAATTCTGAACCATTTGAACGCTTGTGTGACAAGTCTTAACACAGCGGCGAATATGGCCTCCAATTCATACAATCAGTCGAGAACTGGAAACGCTTTCCCGGGAATGCTTCCGCCCAACGGCTCCCCATTCGGAGCCAATACTCCACTTCACGTGCAGATCCCTATCCCGGCCGCCACCGCCGCCGCCATCGCCGCCGGAATCTTCCCGAGTTCTGGTCTCACTAACATCTGTAACACCAATTCTGGTGACATTAACAACAACATCGCATCACCGATGATGACCGCTGGCCTCACCATCGATAGCAAAGCCAATATGCAAACGCCTCCCTCTTCCGCTTCATCCACCGCTTCCTCGCACTTCACTTTCTCACTACCGCTACACCAATGCTCGCCACCGCTTAGCAGTCATCACTTGCTTCCCTTCCACCACAACCTCAACGTCAATATCAATCAAAGCATTTCAAACCAAATGACCGCAAATCAGTCGGCAATGGGTCTGAGACACGGCTCGACTGGTTCCTGGAGCCACAACTCATGCCTGGAATCACCGCTGGGCCACAGTTCCATTAGCCCAGCCGGCAGTTCCGTCAGCAGCGGACAGTTGAGTCCATCCGGAAGTGATGCCGATATGGAGATGGTGTTCGAACCGCACAATTCACTCAATGGCGACAGTGTTTGGAGGCCGTGGTAATGATGGTAATGGTTGTGTCCATTGCCCTCACAATCAAACCCACAGTAGATCTCTATATTGTATATTATAAACAGATTCTATAATTTAAATTAATATATCGATAAATTACAAACACTTATACTCTCTCTTATGATCTCTAACTTTAACTGTTATTCGTTTGCAATGAAGACGGCTTTCAGATGGATCTCCGATTTAGATAACTGTTGAGAAAAGTTTCATTAATTGTTCCTCAATTTAATGTTAAAGATATAGATTATAATATAGAGAGTAAAAGTAATTCTTATATAATATCTTATTTTACATTTATGTTATACAGTATAACATAATTGGCTTCCTTTATGTGCCTTAAATTCAATTTGCATTTTCAATGCATTTGTTATTTATTTCAATGAAAATTTAATTATTTTATAAAATTTTTCTAAACTATTTTTATACAAAACTATATATTTAGCAATAGTTTTAATCAACATTTACTTGTATTATAATTTCATTACATAACACCCAAAGCCTTTCAGTGGTTTAGAATTGAAAAAACTAATCATGTTGTATATTATTTATTCCATCGTAAACGCAATATAAATCAATTATTATATTATATATTATCATTTGTAAAATAAAATGACATTTAATTAAATAAATAATTTTCAAAACTGAATTCAAAGCCTATTTGTTATTTCGCTACTTAACGGGATTTGAGTCAATACTTTCATTGGTGTTTGACTGAAATTTCAAAGAATTCAATTGCTATTATCGGTTGCTTTACACTTACTCTTTGCGTCGACAATAATATGATATTATAATTGCCAACAATTTCCTCTAATTATCTCAAATTGTGTGATCCGTGACATCAAAAGTCGACTTTCTTTAGACTCGCTTAAGACATACTTTAGGCTCACTTTAGCCTATAATCAGTGGAAGATTTGCCAAATGCTTCACTGATAGGAAAACATGAATGAAACCTATTATATAACTAAAGTGTGGGAACTTTGCAATTACCTGTAGTATAACTGCTATAGTATAACAATCATTAGCTCTGAGACTCTGAGGCCGCTCTGAGGCTTTCAACTAAAAGTTGTTAAATGAATATTGCATTTGAATGCATACAAAAGCAATGGCTTTCTTCGATTTATATAAATGTATATTTAATTTAGTTATTTTGCATAAATTAAATACATATCGAAAATTATTACTTCAAGTATTTATAGCTGAGATCAAGTGGTATTAGTTGTGTAGTGATTATCACTTAAGTCTAAATCAAAGGTGAGACAAAACTTATGCATATTATTGAATATGAAAAGTTTAATCAGAGCTTACAATCTTCAGAAAGTCTTAAAATTCTCTCTCTCTCTCCCTCTCTCTCTCTCTCTCTCTCTC